CTCCTCCTCCTCCTCCTCCTCCTCCTCCTCTTCTTCTTCTTCTTCTTCTTCTTCTCCCCCCCCCCTCCGGAGATGCCCATCTCAGCTGCCCCCCCCCGCTTGGCTCACGTGCCCCGAGGCGGCGGCTGCACCTGGGTTCTCCAGCCACGCGGGGCGGGGCCGGCTCCGCCCTCGCTGGCCGGAAGCTCCTCCCCCCGTATAAAAAGGCCGGCCGGCTGCGCGTGGGCAGCCAGATTCGCCGGGCAGCAGGTGGCGCCTCCAGGTGCGCTTCTGCTCCGCTTCGCCCGGCTGCTGCTGCTGCTGCTGCTGCTGCTGCTCTTCCGTCGGTTTTTGCGATGCTGGTGCACCTCAAGACGGCTTTCCGACAAGCCGGGAAGATGCCCCAGGGGATCTTGCCCAAACTGGAAGCCAACGTCCTGGTCCTCGGGGCGGAGAAAGTGGGCAAATCGGGTAAGTGGCCGGAGCTGCTCCGCGGCGCTCAGGTGCAGCTGCTTTCCGCGGAGAGCATCTCCCCTGAGCCGGGCGCTTCAAGACGACAACCCCTATCGTCCCCAGCCAGCGTGGAAATGTGACTGGATCGCATTTCTTCATTGGCCGTCCAACCCTTCAATCAGAATAGAGCTGGCAAGGGTCCTTGGAGGTCTTCTAGTCCAGCCCCCCCTGCTCAAGCAGGAGAACCGTCCCTAGACCATTTTTCTTAAAATGGGATGGGGACCTGCCCCTTCTGGTGGCAAGCCGTTCCACTGGTTCATTGTCCTCACTGTGAGGAAGTTTCTCCTTAATGCCAGGTTGCTTCTCTCCTTGGTTGAGTTGGAAGGGACCTTGGAGGTCATCTAGTCCAACCCCCTGCTCAGGCAGGAAACCCTATACCATTTCAGACAGTCTCTTCTTAAAAACCTCCAGTGTTTGGAGCATTCGCCGCTTCTGGAGGCAGGTTGTTCCACTGGTTAATTGTCCTCACTGTCAGGAAGTTTCTCCTTAATTCCAGGTTGTGTCTCTCCTTGATTAGTTTCCATCTGTTGCTTCTTTTCCTGCCTTCTGGTGCTTAGGAAAATAGGTTGACCCCCCCCCCTCTTCTTTGTGGCAGCCCCTCAAATACTAGAAGAGTTGCTATCATGTCACACACACACACCCCGGTCCTTTTTTCCCCTAGACTGGCCATATCTAATTCCTGCAACCATTCTTCATATATAGTTTGCAATAAAGGCAAATATCTGTAGCTTGGGTGTAGGAGGAGGATATAAACGGAACAGCACATCAGACACCCCCTAAACTCCACTGAAGATGTTACCTAGCTTGGGAACAAAATGTTCAGAAACCAGCCCACAAGCTCAGAGAACGAACCTCCACCCTCATAGGTTTTTGTCTCCAGGCCGTTAATCATCCTAGTTGCTCTTCTCTGCACTTTTTTCCCCCAAAGTCTCAACATCTTTTTTGTAACGTGGTGACCAAAACTGGATGCAGGATTCCAGGTGTGGCCTTACTAAGGTTTTATAAAGCGGTACTAATACTTCACGTGATTTTGATTCTATGCCTCTGTTTATACAACCAAGGATTGGTTCTATAAACCCTGATTTGGGGGGGGGACGCTTGGATGTTGAGGTTGTATCTCGGTGGGCTGCAGCCCCCACAGGAGGACCAGGCAGCCGCCCACCCAGATCCCTAACTCTGAGTCAGCTTTTGTCTCGCTTTCCTGCCTACCTTACAGGCTTGGGGTATGTGGGGGCAAAGCCAGAGTAAATGCCTCATTGGAGTCCCTTGGAATAAAGCTGAGAGGAGAGAAATGAGCAAGATTTTTGCCACTAGAATAAGTCCCCGACTTACAACAGTTCATTTAGTGACCGTTCAAAGTTACAACCGCACTGCAAAAAAAGTGAGTTATGACCCTTTTCACTTACAACGGTCACGTGATCAAAATTCAGATGCTTGGCAACTGACTCGTATTTATGATGGGGCCATATGATCCCATTTTGGGACCTTAATAATAATAATAGTAGTAGTAGTAGTAGTAGTAGTAATAATAATAATAATAATGAAGAAGAAGAAGAAGAAGAAGAAGAAGAAGAAGAAGAAGAAGAAGAAGAAGAAGAAGAAGAAGAAGAAGTAGTTGTTGTTGTTGTTGTTGTTGTTGTTGGAAGGGGCCTTGGAGGTCATCTAGTCCAACCCCCTGATCAGGCAGGAAACCCTGTACCATTTCAGACAAATGGCTGTCCAGTCTCTTCTTAAAAACTTCCAGTGTTGGAGCATTCACCGCTTCTGGAGGCAGGTTGTTCCACTGGTTAATTGTTCTAACTGTCAGGAAGTTTCTCCTTAGTTCTAGGTTGCTTCTCTCCTTGATTAGTTTCCATCAAAGTCAATGGGGAAGCCAGGTTCACTTAATCCTATTAACGACCGCCGTGATTGGCTTAACAGTTGTGGCAAGCAAGGTCATAGAATGGGGCAAAATTCACTTAACAAATGTCTCACTGAACCACAGGAATTTTGGGCTCAGTTACGGTCGTGAGTCGAAGACTAGCTGTATTCCGTGGCTGGTCAGTTTAAAAAAAACTGCTTTTTTCCGCCACTCCGATCATTTGTGTAAGTGCCTGGAGACAGAGAGAGAGGTTTTGGGTTTTCCAGGAAAGCACCAGTTCCCTGAAAAATTGGTTGCCAGGTGAGCTACATATTAGACTTCTCGGTTCTGGTCTGTCACCTACTCAAGGGTTACCTGGGTGATTTGTTTCAGGCAAAGTTCCCTGAGGGTAAGAAGTACAATTGGCCTTGTAAGAGACCTGTGGGGAATCGAACTAAATTAGGCTATGAAAGCCTTCCGAACCCCATGCTGGTTAAAATGCTGGTTATGAGTCATTTTGCTGGGGCGTCCATGAATGGATGCCTCATTGCACTAAGTTTTTTTTTCTATTTCGGGATAAAAAAGTATCCGAGAATGTCTTTAAACCACTCACCATGGACCCCGAGGTTAGTTTCGGAAACTTCATTTCCCAAAATAAGGTTGTCCAAAGTTGTTGATTCTACTAGGTTCCGGACCTCTGGTTTTGTATGTTTCTTGCCGACGTCCTGAACCCAAACCGATCAGATTTCTTTCTTCAAATAGGGGTGACATGATAGCAGCGTTCCAGCATTTGAGGGGCTGCCACAAAGAAGAGGGAGTCCAGCTATTCTCCAAGCACCAGAAGGCAGGAGAAGAAGCAACGGATGGAAAATGATCAGAGAGAAGCAACCTGGAATTAAGGAGAAACTTCCTGACAGTGAGGACAATTAACCAGTGGAACAGCTTGCCACCAGAAGTTGTGGGCGCTCCATCACTGGAGATTTTTAAGAAGAGGCTAGATCAGGGGTAGGCAACCTTGGCTCTTTTATGACTGGTGGACTTCAACTCCCAGAATTCCTGAGCCAGCCATGCTGAGGGGAAAGGGAGAGGTTTCCAAGCTGAGCCATGCTGGCTCAGGAATTCTGGGAGTTGAAGTCCATGAGTCATAAAAGAGCCAAGGTTCACTACCCCTGCCCTAGAATATGAGAGGTGGGGAACCATGGGCCCTTTAGGACTTGTAGACTTCAACTCCCAGAATTCCTGAGTCAGCCACGCTGAGGTAAAAGGGAGAGGTTTCCAAGCTGAGCCATGCTGGCTCAGGAATTCTGGGAGTTGAAGTCCACCAGTCATAAAAGAGCCAAGGTGGCCTACCCCTGGTCTAGATAGTCACTTATCTGAAATGGTATAGGTTTTCCTGCTTGAGCAGGGGGCTGGACTAGAAGACCTCCAAGGTCCCTTCCAGCTCTATTCTAAGTTGGAACACTGGAGGGCTGTGTGGAGGGATTTTGTTTATTAATACAGCGAGTCATTTAGTGACCGTTCAAAGTTACAATGGCACTAAAAAAAAGTGACGTTATGACCATTTTTCACAGTTACAACCTTTGCAGGGTCATGTGATCAAAATTCAGACAGTTGGCATGTTTATCATTGTCGTGACAGTTGCAGTCACGCGATCCCCTCTTGCGACTTTCTGACAAGCAATGGGGAAGCCTGATCCACTTAATGACCGTGTTACTAACCTAACAACGGCAGTGATTCACAGTCGCAGAATGGGGCAAAATGTACTTAGCAAAGAAACGTTGGGCTCAATTGTGGTCGTAAGGCGAGGACTACATGTGCTTTACTGAAGCTTAGATGGTTGCAGAAGTAGCACAAGCCGAATCTGAGGTTTTCCCACACAAACAACACAAAGGAAAGGTCCTTGGCTAGGTGAAGCTTCTCAAAGGCTCAGCTGGGCTTCCATCCCGCCATTTCTTCCTTACAGTCCAGTCTTTCCCTCCCCCCTGTCTCCCCGTTGCTAATGTCAGGCTGTCACTCGTGAAGCTTGGCTAGGAGAAATGCAGCCATGACACCAGCTTTCTCTTTCGTTCCAGCTTTAACTGTCCGGTTTCTGACCCGGAGGTTCATCGGTGAATATGGGAATATTGGTAAGTGAGTCTCTTCTTTCCTGCGGCCCCTCCCCATTCTTTCTCATTTCCTTCCCTTCTTCCTCTGCTGTCCTCCCACCCTTCGTCACAGGCTATTTTTATTTCTTACCTCCAGAATCCATTTATAATCATAACATGAAGGTGGCTGGGCAGAGAGCTTCATTCAGTATCTGGGACTCGGCCTGCCCACAGGTAAGCATCCTTTCCCCATTTGCAGATGATGTACACATCCAGTTTTGGTCACCACGATGTGAAAAAGATGTTGAGACTCTAGAAAGAGTGCAGAGAAGAGCAACACAGATGATTGCAACGATTTACTTAACAACTCTGGCAGGAAAAGTCGTAAAATGGGAGCAAAACTCACTTAACAAATGTCTCACTTAGCAACATACATTTTGGGCTCAGTTGTGGTTGTAAGTTGAGGACTGCCTGTATTCTCGAAAGTCTCTACAGTTAGTCCTTGACTTAAAACCACAACGGAGTCCAAAATTTATATTAAGCTCTCTCTAAGCGGTTTACAGAGTCAGCATATTGCCCCCACACACACAACAATCCGGGTCCTCATTTTATTGACCTCAGAATGATGGAAGGCTGAGTCAACCTTGAGCTGGTCAGGATCGAACTCCTGGCAGTGGGCAGAGTTTAGCCTGCAATACTGTATTCTAACCATTGCACCACCATGGCAAATTAGAATATAGAATATAGAACATAGAACAGAACAGAGTAGAATAGATGCAGAAATAATTAGAATAGAATAGAATTAGAATAGAATAGAATAGAACAGAATAGAATAATAGAATGGAATAGAGTAAGAATAGAATAGAATAGAATAGAATAGAATAGAATAGAAAATATAGAATGGAATTGAATGGAATGGAATAGAATAGAACAGTGGTGGTGAACCTATGGCACGGGTGCCAGAGGCGGCACACAGAGCCCTCTCTGTGGGCACGCGCGCCGTCGCCCCAGTCCGAGGCCTTCAGCTGGGTTTTATAAAACCTTTTCACTTTAGGCCTCCGCCGCCGTGTACAAAAAAAAAAGGTTCAATCAATTAGTCAATTTCAACTTCTCGCGGGGAAAAAAAATCTTGCAAAGTTGTAATTGATTGATTGAACTTTTTAGTCCCACCCAGTCTGCCGTTACCACCGCGGCCATGCCCACCCAATGGGCCACACCCACCCAATGGGTCACACCCACCCGGCACCCGACGATGCGTAAGTGGGTTTGGGTTGCAGTTTGGGCACTCGGTCTCTAAAAGGTTCGCCATCACTGGAATAGAATAGAATAGAATAGAATAGAATAGAATATATGGGATGGAATAGAATATAGAATATAGAATATAGAATAGCAATAATAGCAATAGCAACAGCACTTAAACTTATACACCGCTTCACAGTGCTTTACAGCCCTCTCTAAGTGTCAGTGTCAGCTTCTTACCCCCAGCAATCTGGGTCCTCATTTTACTGACCTCAGAAGGACGGAAGGCTGAGTCAGCCTTGAGCCGGTGAGATTCGAACTGCCAAACAGCTGGCAGCCGGCAGTCAGCAGAAGTAACCTGCCGTGCTGCATTCTAACCACTGTGCCATTACGGCCGATTAAGGGCTGCTGCTTTGCTTATCTCATCTCTAATAAGTCCTCCTTTGACTCTCCGTAGGTGGACAACCTGCAGAGCTGCTTGAACGAGAAACAGCTGCACTGGGCCGACGGTTTCCTTATTGTCTACAGTATCTGCGATCGGGCCAGTTTCGCTTTTGCCCGTCATCAGCTCCACTGGCTCCGACGATGTTCAAAGAGAAGAAACGGGAGACGGAGGGCGCCCATCGTTCTGGTGGGCAACAAACGGGACTTGCAGCACCAGCGGGCTGTCTCCAGCGAGGAAGGCCGCCTTTTGGCCCTGTCCACCAACTCTGGCTTTTTCGAAATTTCGACGGCCGAGACCTACCATGGCTCCCTGGTGGTCTTCAACGAACTTCTTAACCTGGTTCAGGACTCAAAGAGCCTCACTAAGAAGACGGTGGGCATCCGGGAGATTGTCCGCAGCGTGTCAGCCATCTTTGGGCGAAGAAGGGCCGACTGAAGCTTGGCTGGGGAAAACTTAAGAGCAGGTGTGTAAACAGAAGCCACTGAGGGTGGCTCTTGACCTGAACAAGAGGTTCCTTCTTGCGGAACATCAGATTAAAAAAAAAAAAATTACAGAAGGAAGCAAGGAAACACGTACTGTACGTGTTGTACTTGGTTCTGGGCACAGCTTGAAATGTTCTTTCTGATTACCATGGGAAACAGTGAGAAATAGTAAATCTTTCTATCCTAGCAGGACAATCGTCTCTAGCAATTCACAGGCTTCCATTTCTAAGACAGAGTTATCGGCACATATTGCTCGGACTTTGAATGCGGAACAGGGATAAACCTAGATGTTCTGGAGGGCAAGCAGAGATCCTTGCGCTTTAATAACCTGGCATCTATACAGAAGACCAGAATTCGAAGGGATCTTAGAGGTCTTCTAGTCCAGCCACCTGCTCAGGCAGGAAAAACGATACCGTTGCAGACAATCTCTTCTTACAAACGTCCAGTGTTGGAGCACCCACAACTTCTGCAGGCAAGTCGTCCCACTGATTTAATTGTTCTAACTGTCAGGAAGTTTCTCCTTAGTTCTAGGTTGCTTCTCTCCTTGGTTAGTTTCTGTCTGTTGCTTCTTGTCCTGTATCCAGGTGCTTTGCAAAATAAGTTGACCCCTCCCCACTTCTCTGTGGCATCCCCTCAAATACTGGAAGAAGCGATCATGTCCCCCCTATTCCTTCTCTTCGTTAAACTAGACATACCCAGTTCCTGCAACCATTCTGCATATGTTTTAGCCTCCAGCCCCCTGATCATCTTTGTTGCTCTTCTCTGCACTCTTTCTAGAGTCTCAACAACTTTTTTTATAATATGCTGACCAAAACTGGATGCCGTATTCCAAGTGTGGTCTTACCAAGGCATTGTAAAGTGGTATTAACACTCCATGTGATCTTGATTCTGTCCCTCTGTTAATGCTGCCTTAGAACTGTGTTGGCTTTTTTGGCAGCTGCAGCACACGGCTGGTTCCTATTTAAGTGTTTGTCTACTAGGACTCCGAGATCCCTCTCACAGTTGCTACTATTGAACCAGGGAGCACCTATACTGGACCGGCGCATTGAGGTTTTTCTTGCCTAAATGTAGAACCTTACTTTTTTCATTTTGAAATGAATTTCATTTTATTAGATAGCGCCCAATGTTCAAGTCTGTCAAGATCCTTCTGTATCTTAAGCCTGTAACTTCTGGAGTGTTGTGTATTCTTGCCAGCTTGGTGTCGTCTGCAAATTTGATGAGTTCCCCCTCCATGCCCTCAACCCAAGGCTACATCTTGCAGATCCAAGAATGTGGAAGGAGAGACCAATATTTCTCATCGTTTTTATGCACGCAGAGATGCAGATATTTATACATAGCACTTTCACTTTGCAGCCAAATGAATTTTTTTATTTTTTATTTGTAAATGGAGCAATTCCGGTTTTTTTTTTCTCTCCCTCTCCTAAACATGAATACATTTCTGAAGTCTTTTGGGAGACTCTGCAGGGACCGAAGAAATTATTAGGTTCGTTGGGAAGAAAATAAGAGATCAGACTTCAGGGCAAAAAAATGTACTGTACTTGCCAGCGCGCGACTCAGTCTTCGCCCAGCATGCCTTCTTCAATTAAGTTCTCCGATCTGAAAGCGAGGGGCTTTTCGTTCTTTGGGAAGCTATGTACCACACTAAGCTCATTTTTCCATCTCAGTGGCACGCTGCATAATTCCCTTTTTAAAAGAGGTACAGTGTAGGAGGCAAGGCAGAATGAATGGGTGACGTGTTTTCTTCTGTCCTTACCATATGTTTGTTTAAAACTTTGGAATTTAGAGACGAGCTGTCAGTTAGGTCTGCTCACTAGATTTGGCGACCTAAGTATTTTTTTTAAAAAAATACCTTTTTATGGAGAGGATGCAATCGGCCATGTTCATCTGGGGGTCGTTATTGGACTTTATTCCTTAAAATTGCAGCCATCCCAATTGCTGTAACAAGCTCCTTTTTTAACACACAAAATGTGCCTGTATCATTGCCTTGATGTATTTAGAAGCTGGTTCACATATTGTTCTATTACAGGTAGTCCTCCACTTATGACCACAAAGGAGCCCAACATTTCTGTTGTTAAATGAGACATTTGTTAAGCGGGTTTTGCCCCGCTTTACAACCTTTCTTGTCACAGTTGTTAAGCAAATCACTGCAGTTAATAACCTCGTTAAGTGAATGTGACTTCCCCATTGACTTATTTCTCAGAAAGTCACAAAAGGGGATCACATGACCTTGGGACACTGCAACCGTCATAAATGTGAATCAGTTGCCAAGCATCCAAATTTTGATCACATCATCATGGAGATGCTGCGAAGGTTGTAACTGTGAAAAATGGTAATAAGTCCCTTTTTTCAGTGCTGTTGTAACCTTAAAACAGTCACTAAATGAACTGTTGTAAGTTGAGGACTACCAGTACAGTATTTCCTTTGCGGTTGGCCTAGTGTTGTGCAATTCCCAAACACGGTGGTATGAAAATCATTGTTTGTAACCAGTATGAATGAGGCAAACTCTGATTTCTTCAACAGCGATTAAAACAAATTATGGTTTTGTGTTGACAGCTGATTCGAATGCCAGCTTTAATTATTTCTTGTTCAAGGGAATACAGCCAACCGCTCTCCATCTGCAGGAAACATTCCAGATGGGCAGAATTTGAATTTGCAAGATGACAGGTGATGCTGCCTACGCGATTTCCTAATCACTCAATTTTAGAAATCAACCCAGGATTGGAAATATAGCATTGTAACTACTCCAGTTTTTTTCTGGTTTGTCCTCTTTAGAATAATGGAATAGAATAGAATAAAGAATAGAATAAAGAGTAGAATAGAATAAGATAGAATAGAATAGAATAAAGAATAGAATAAAATAAGAATAAGATAGAATAGAAATTAGAAATTAGAATAGAAATATAGAATAGAATAGAATAGAATAATTAGTAATTAGAATTAAGAATTAAAATAGAATTAGAATAGACCTCAGAGGTCTTCTAGTCCAGCCCCCTGCTCAAGCAGGAGACCCTATACCATTTCAGACAGGTGGTTGTCCAGTCTCTTCTTAAAAACCTCCAATGATGAAGCACCCACAACTTCTAGTGGCAAGCTGTTCCACTGGTGAATTGTCCTCACTGCTAGGAAGTTTCTCCTTAATTCCAGGTTGCTTCTCTCTTTGATTAATTTCCATCCATTGCTTCTTGTCCTGCCTTCAGGTGATTTGGAAAATAAATTAACCCCCCCTCTTCTTTGTGGCAGCCCCTCAAATACTGGAACAGTTGCTATCATGTCCCCCCTTGTTCTTCTTTTCTCTAGGCTAGCCATACCCAAATCCTGCAACTGTTCTTTGTATGTTTTTGTCTCCAGGCCTTCAACCATCTTCGTTGCTCTTCTCTGCACTTTTTCCAAAGTCTCAACATCTTTTTTGTCATGTGGTGACCAAAACTGGATGCCGTATTCCAGGTGTGACCTGGACAACCATTGGTCCAGGATGGTATAGGGTTTCCTGCTTGAGTAAGTGGTTGGACTAGAAGACCTCCAAGGTCCCTTCCCAACCTTATTCTTCTATATTCTATGTTCTCTATGTTATATAGTAAATATGTAAGTAGGTTAGAGGGCCTCAATGGTCTCCCAGGGTAACTAAGATAGGCATGGTTGCAAATTTTCCTCGCGCCAAATTGAACAAGAAAATTGGTGTGAAAAGCACACGGCGAGGGGATTAGAAGGAACTGTGTGGGCTCCCACAGGGCTGCTGCACACAAGGGGGTGGGCATCTGAGACTGGAAAATTTCCATCCAGCAAAAGGAAAAGTACCCACAAGCTGCGTGCGGCGGCTGGAAACATTTGAAGAGCCTCAGGAATTCATTTGTGGCCAAAAAACCCCCGAGGAGGAACCGGGGCGGCTTCTGTCCCTGCAGGATAAGTGGCTCCTGCAGTTTCACAGCCAACAACAAGGAAGAACAGCCTAACAATCTCAGATTAAAGTCACTTAGTGCACGGCTTTTCAACCTTTTCACCACTTTTAGGATATGGCAATATCTGAGTACCACCAGTCGCCTAGCAAGGTGTCAAAAACTTGATGACCAGGGGAAAAAAAAGGAAAAAAGTGATGAAGTACAGGTAGTCCTCGATTTACAACAGTTCGCTTAGTGACTGTTCGAAGTTACAGAGGCACTGAAAAAAGTGCCCCCCAAGCCACAGCCGAGCAAGACACCTGCCTGCCCACCCGGCGGCGCTCTTCCTCCAGTCCGAGGTTTCCATTGTTGTGAGCATTTCTGTTGAGGATTGGCAGCGGGGGTGGGGTGGGGGGGTGTTTGGTTTTTATTCCCCCCGTCTGCTGGGTGGTTGCAGCAGGTTTTGGTCACTTCACATGACCCTGGGACACTGTGACCGTCATAAATATGAATCGGTTGCCAAGCATCTGAATGTAAATCACAAGACCCTGGAGAGGCTGCAACATTCCAGCTGATCGCCGCTTCTTCTGGGCTCAGCAGAAATGCCAGGATCAGTGCTGTTTTCTCTTCTCCCTCCCTCCCTCGTCGTTAGAATGCAGCATTGCAGGCTAACTCTGCCCACAGCCAGGAGTTCGATCCTGACTGTCTCAAGGCTGACTCAGCCTTCCGTCCTTCCGAGGTCGGTAAAATGAGGACCCGGATTGTTGCAGGGGGCAAGAGGCTGACTGTAAACCGCTTAGAGAGGGCTGTAGAGCACTGTGAAGCAGTATATAAGTCCATATTGCCAAGCTTCTCCCGACACCTCCCTGGAAGTCCCGCTTAAAACATAACATCATTATTTTAATAAAAAAAAGAGCCCTGCAAAGCTCCAGTTCAGGGCACGGAATATATCTGTGGCCTCTTTCTTAGTTTCATGTTTTCATCAAGCAGTGCTAAGGAACAAGGTTAGGAAATGCTTCCCTTTGGGAGGACCAAAGGTGCTTTTTTCTTCAAAAGGCAAATGGATTTTTTCTTGAAGACGTTTCGTTTCTCAACCAAGAAGCTTCTTCAGTTCTGACTGAACGGCAGGGAATGGAAGGATTTATATTCCTTGCAGTCATCTGGTCGTTAGTACTCTCTCTGGGAGTCGTTGAGGCCACTTGGGATTGATCTGTGCCCTCAGGATCACCTGAATACTGCAAATGAACGTGGAACTTTCTTGGAACTGCTGAAAAGGACCGTGTTGTGAACAGGAAGTGGGGTGGTGTTGTATCCCCCTCCCTCTATTGAGAGGGCTGTTCAATTTTTACCTCCCTTTGACCTCTCTTTCCAACCAGTGGTCCTCTCTGTCCGAGATGTGGACTTTGCGGTCTCCAAAAGACCGGTCTTCGCCCTTGTAATGCTGAATCTGATTCCTGACGGGTTTGTCCTCCCGTGTTGTGTTTGTGAAGGAGGTTCTTGTTTCTCCAATGTACAGACCTAAAACGACGTCTCACTGCGTTGTACAGCATATATCACATCGTTCAGTTTGTGCCTGGGTGTTTTATCCTTGGGGTGCACAAGCTTCTGCCTTTTGGGGCTTAAAACAAGGGGGGGGGGGAAAAGCACCTTTTGGGACAGCCATGACCTGGATAACGGAGAATAGTCTGTTAAGGAAACCTCTTGAGACCGAAACTGGATTCGAACAGATGACCACCACAAACAAGCTATGTTGCACAATCTCCCCTTTTAATTGGTCCCTGAAAGACAAAGCAGCAGTGAGGGGCCCACAAGGCTCCCCGTCTAGAAGAAATCCCCCACAATGCAGTGTTTCTCAACCTTGGCCACTTTTAAGAGATGTGGACTTCAGCTCCCAGCATTCCCCCCAGGCAGCTTGTTGGAAGACCACGCCTTTTAAAGGGGCCAACGTTGAGAAACACTGGCCCTTTGTGGCATATGCTAGAACAGCTGCACCCTCACAGCTGCCCAATGAAGCCAAAAGCACTCCCAGCAAGGATGTTGGTCCCCCACCCCAAAGCAGAGAAGACCCCAGAGGAAATGAAGGGGGCAGGCAGGTCCTAGAAGTGCTTCGCAAGTTCTCCAGACTTCCTGGCCTCCCGTCTCCACTTTGATTTAGACTTGATCTCACCTAGGCTTTCCCCAACATGGAGAGCCCTTTCAGGCTGAAGACTTCAACTCCCAGCATTCCTAGCCAATGCGCTAAGAAGGCTGGGAACTCCCATCCCAACATCTGGAATCCCAAAGGAGAGGCAGGCTTGCTCCAGAAACTTGCCAAGACTTGGCTTGGATAACTCTTCAAAGAGGTTTCTTTTTTCAAAATAATAATAATAATAATAATAATTTTTCCGTCTTGGCCCAATCTCTGCAGCGTACCAGATTTAATTCTGCCAGCCCAGGGCTCCAATTAGTTTCATTTTTCCAGATCCATTTTTCCAGTGTGCATTTGACTCCAGAGTGCAATTTTGCCTGCTGTTGTTTTCTGAACAGCAGCGTGTAAACACAATTAGTGGTTGATCCAGGTCCACACCTTTTTTTAAAAAACAGCTGCCAACTACTTCCCCCAGCTGGGCTTCTGTGGCTTTAATAGGCATAATACTGAGAACCATCTGAAGGACATGGCTTTTAAAGAAAATTAAAGGGAGGAATTACTATAAGTCCCCTGCAGAGAGAGGAAGGAAGGAAGGAAGGAAGGAAGGAAGGAAGGAAGGAAGGAAGGAAGGAAGGAAGGAAGAAAATAAAGGCAGAGAAGAAGGAAGGAAATGGAGGGAGAAAAAATGGGGAACAAAGGAAAAGGAAGGAAATGAGACAGAGAAGAAGAAAGGAAATGGGATAAAAAATAGGGAGGGAAGGAAGGGAGGGAGGGAGGCAAAGGGGAAAGTGGGAGAAAGGAAGGGAGGGAGAAGGAAAGAATTGGAGGGGAAGGAAGGAAGGAAATAAAGGCAGAGAAGAAAGGAAGGAAATGGAGGGAGAAAAAATAGGGAAGGAAGGAAGGAAGGAAAGGAGGGAGGGAGGCAAAGGGGAGACAGGAAGGGAGGGAGAAGGTAAGAAGAATTGGAGGGGAAGGAAGGAAGGAAGGAAATGGAGGGAGAAAAATAGGGGGAAAGGAAGGAAGGAATAGGGGAAGAAAGGAAGGGAGGGAGGGAGGAAGGAAATAAAGGAAGAGAAGAAGAAGGGAAGGAAATGGAGGGAGAAAAATGGGGGAAGCAAGGAAAAGGAAATGAGACAGAGAAGAAGAAAGAAAGGAAATGGAGGGAGAAAAAATAGTGAGGGAAGGAAGGAAGGAAAGAAGGAAGGAAGGAAAGAAAGAAGGAATTTTCTTCGTAAGTGGAAAGATCCATGTGATGATTGAAAACAGAGTTCAACTTTCTGGGTCTTTGGGGTTGGGAAGGAAAAAACAGAATTAGCAAGGGAGGAAGGTAACCTGCCCAAACACACTAATTTCTCTCGGAAGGGGGTAAGATGGCCAAACAAAGGCACACTTTGTCATTTTGGCAAAAACTCAGGACTTTGGGCAGAACCAGCAGCAGGGACCTGCTCTGAGGCTGAAGAAAAGCAAATATCACCCCCACCCTTCAATCAGTCCGTTTTAGAAAAACACAGCGTCCTGGCGAACTTAGGTCCGTAAAACCCAAATGCCCCCATGTTTGAGAACTGTGCTCCAGGTATTGTGAGGGGCGGTGGTGGGAAGAGACCCTTTGAGAGAGACCCTCCCTTCCCAGCCACTCAACCGTTAAGTCATCTCCTCTTCCTGCTTAAAATTGCAGGCCCCGATGAGGTGGCCATCCGAGGAACCCACAAAACCTTTTCAAAGCGGCAGAACCGATGAAAGAAGCCCGGAGAACATGTCCTTCTTCAGCACCCTGATTCTTGAGATGAGTTTTGCCCCCTTTAGGGCAAAGCAATAAATAAATCCTACCCCACAGGGGCAGCCGAGACGGGCATCCTTGCAATAATCCCCAAGGAAACCCCTGGGTCTGTCCGTAAATGGAGGCCTCGGAGAAGCGGCCATCTTGGGCTTCCCCTGCCCGTCAGTTGATCGGTTCGTACTCCGAACATGGCTTCCGCTTCCTTGTCAGCACCGCCAGGCTCCCCACGATTAGGAGCATCGCCGGCGTTCCCAGCGCCACGGCCAGGATCCCGATGACCAGCGGAGAGAATTCTTCTCTCGGGGGTTCCCCAAAACCAACCAGCGCGGACCTGGAAGGAAGAGACAAAGCAATGGAAACACGTCATTATGGGCAGTCCTCGACTTATCAGGATGTTTAGTGACCGTTCAAAGTTACGACGGCACTGAAAAATGGGACTTACGACCCTTTTTCAAAATTATAACTTTTGTAGCATCCCCAGGATCAGATGCTTGGCAACTAACTCATACTTATGACCATTGCTGTGTCCTGGGTCATAAGATCCCCTTCTGCGACCTTTTTTTTTTTTTTTTTAATGTTTTATTGATTTTTAACATACACCTTAATATTTGGTAAACAGTGTGTTGTCTGGGTTAGTGTTTAAAAAACAATAACAATTAATTTCTATAATTCCATAGTCCACATAATAGCTTCCTCTTCTTCCAATAATATTCTTTTGCCAACCTTAAATACAGTTCTTATTTAAATAAATGACAATTAAATATAGACATTTTTTATGTTTCTGCAAATCATAACCACATCGATATAAAGCTTCTTTTCACTGATCATCTTGATTGCCTCGTCATAGATCCTGTTTACAAAATTCTTATTTAAATTTGTTTTCCCCACAATATTCAAAGCATTCTTACCAGTTAAGATTTTCTCAAAATCTGGACACTTGGCAACTGTTTCGTATTTATGACGGTTGCTGTATCCCAGGGGGGTCATGTGATCTCCTTCTGAGACCTTCTGACAAGCAAAGTCAATGGAGGAAGCCGGATTCACTTAACAACTGGGTTACCAACTTACCAACTGCAGTGATTCTCTTAACAACTGTAGCAAGAAAGGTCATAAAATGGGGCAAAACTCACTTCATTAATAAGTGTCTCACTTAGCAAAAAAAAAATTGGGGTTCAGTTGTGGTGGTAAGTCAAGGACTACCTGTATTTCGGCTATTTACACACAGTTCTGAATGGATTGGATGCTTCGGAGTACAGCTAGTCCTTGTTTTACGACCACAATTAACACCAGCGCTTCCACCGCCAAGCAAGACGATTAAATTAATCATGTCTGATTTGATGAACTTTTGTGTGGCACAGTTGTTAAGAGAATCGCTGCTGTTGCTAAGTGAACCGTGCGGTCATTAAGTGAATCTGACTTGCCCCCGTTGACTCTGCTTGTTCAAGCCATCTGGGAAGGTCGCAAATGGGGATGTGGCAGCCATCTTAGATGCTGGTTGATAAGAGCCGCCATTTTGACGGTGGGGATGCTGTGCCGGTTATGAGCAAGTCCCTTTTTGGAGCGCTGTTGTGACTTCAAACAATCCTTAAATGAATACAGGTAACCCTCGACTTATGACTACCACTGATCGCAATATTTATATAGCTAAGTGAGACATCTGTTAAGTGAGTTTTGCCCCATTTTACGACCTTTCCTGCCAAGTTATTAAGTGAATCACTGCAGTTGTTAAACTAGTAATAGGGTGAATCTGGCTTCCCCATTGACTTTGCTTGCTCAGAAGGCTGCAAAAGGGGATCACGTGACTGTGGGACACTGCAACGGTCATAAATACGAGTCAGTGGCCAAGTGTCTGGATTCTCATCACGTGACCCACATTTTTCAGTGCCATTGTTAACTTTGAACGGTCACTAAACAAACTGTTTTAAGTCGAGCCAGATCAGTAATTGGGCTTTTGCTGGAGGCTTTATACCTTTGTAACTTCAAACGGTCACTAAATGAACTGCTGTAAGTCGAGGACCACCTTTATTTATCATGAGCAGCAAAGAGGGGCCCACTTGGTTGCATCTAACTGGGAGAACGGGGCTGTCTGAAACACAGCGCTGACCCCCATCGCAGGGAGAGAACCCCAATTTATGAAATGACGCCACTCAACACACAGGCAGGAGTTCCCTGTGGTCCAAGGGGGCGACACCCCCCATGGCTTCTGGCCAAGACCCCCAGCACCCCCCAAATGGATCCTCACCAGCTCAAGTATCTCTTTTCTTTGTAGGCTTCGTTGTCCTCGCTACCAAAGGAGATATTGAGGCCAGACAGGCTGCAGGATCGCTCGAGGTCCTCCCCAAAGTAGGCGTGGAGAATCCTGAACTCAGTACCGAGGTTGCGGACCACCTGGAGGGGGTAGTACTGACAATGGACGGTGTTTTCTCGATTGGGGGTTTTAGAGCTGTAGGCGGCCATCTTCCACTGCAGGAAGCTGGACCCCAGGCTGTGGTTGAGGGGGTCAGAGATCAGCTGCACCATCTGAGAGGAAAGGAAAAAAGGAACACGACGCCATTGTTAAGCCCCCATTCTGGGCAGGGTGGGTTCTGCCCCAGTCATTTTGTGAGAGTGTTTTGCACTTGTGAAGGGGTTGTTTTGTGTCCCTACGGTACAGCAGCCAAGAAAGAATAGAATAGAATAGAATAGAATAGAATAGAATAGAATAATGGAAAACAGAGTTGGAAGTGACCTTGGAAATCTTCTAGTCCAGGGGTCGGCAACCTTAAACACTCAAAGAGCCACTTGGACCCGTTTCCCAGAGAAAAGAAAACACTGGGAGCTGCAAAACGTGTGTGTGCACGTGCGTGCGCAAGAGGTGGGGACCTTGATTGAAGAATTTAATTAAAAAGAAATAGAGGCTGCTGTGCATGAGTTTCTCTCTCTCTCTCTCCCTCCCTCCCTCCCTTTCCTCTCCCTCTCTCCCTTTCCTCTCTCTCTCTCTTTCCTCTCCCTCTCTCCCTTTCTCTTTCCTCTCCCTCTTTCTCTCTTTCCTCTGCCTCTCTCTCCCTCTTTCCTTCCCCCTCTCTCCCTCCTCTCCTTCTCTCTCTCTCCTCTCCCTCCCTCTCTCTCCCTCCCTCTCTCTCTCTCTCTCTCTCCCTCTCTCCAATCTTCTGCTCACCTGGCAAGCTGGCTTCAGGCTCTTCTGCAACAAGCTGACACACATTATTGGGCTGGCTCTCTCCTGCCCTTCCTGCTTCCTGCAGAGATGCAGCAAAGGGAGGAGCCCCGCCCAATAAGCTTGTCAGCTCCTTGGGTTGCCGACCCGTGTTCTAGTCCAACCCCCTGCTTAGGCAGGAAACCTTCTACCATTTCAGACAAATGGTTGTCCAATCTCTTCTTAAAAACTTCTAGTCCAGTTGCCTTTTGGAAAAGCACCTCCAGGAGACCCTCTGAACCTGGAGCCCCATGTGAATCCAGCCGTTGATGCTTCCATTGCCCAAACGATAGCCGAGAACCCAAGAGGGGGCAGTCGACTTTGGCTTCCCTGGACGTACCTCGAAAATGGTCGGGGTGTATTCGTCATCGATGGAACGGACTGACTGCAGCTGCTTCTGCCGGCTCCCTTCCTCGACTGCCAGGATCTCCAGGGCAAAGCGGGAGTGGTTCCCCCGGGGGGGCACACCCTGGATGGCGAATTCCACCTTGGAGCTGTTGGCGCTGTGCAGAAGACGTGGGAGGGGCCTGTCGCGGCTGCTCTCCTCGTATGCCGTCACCTGGGGGGGGAAGAGACTGACCATAGTCTCCCCAGTCTTCCTTTCCTCCCTGCTAACCCGGTTAGAGTTAACCTTGGCTTATCAGGGTTTGGCTTAAGGATGTGCAAAACTGTCAGAGCGTGCACAGCCTTCTTGCGCGAGATAACCCAGGAGTAAACACAGGAAACAGTGGTCTATATTAAATGGTGGTTTATCTTACACTATCTACAATATCATACACCAGGAACAATATACGTACACGTGCTAATATAGCAGGATCCAACAAACCAGAGTTACAGCAGGAAACAGAAGAGAGAGAGAACACATCAGTAGAGCCTTCCCTTTATACAAAGGCTCTTAAAGAGACACAGACTCTGCTGAGTCATTCCCATCATTACCTCTTACATTACATCAGCTGGTTAGCTATTAAATCAATACTTCGACACAAAAACTTGTGTCCCATGAAAGGTTCGATACAGCCATTTCTGTGGTTAAGCGAGACCTTTGTAAAGTGAGTTTTGCCCCGTTTTGTGACTTTTCTTGCCTCAGTTGTTAAGCGAATCACTGCGCTTGATACTTATCAGTGATCTGGTTATTAAGTGAATCTGGCATCCCCACGAGCTTTGCTTGTCAGAAGGGTCACAAAAGGGGATCACGTGACCGTGGGACACTGCGACCGTCGTTAAGTATGAACCAGTTGCCAAGCATCTGAATTTGGGTCACCTGACCTCGGGGATGCCGCAACGGCCGTAAGTGGGAAAAACGGTCATGAATCAGTTTTTTCAGTGCCGTTGTGACTTTGAACTGAATGGTTAAGTCCAGGATTATATATAATTTTACCCACTGCCATTTTCAAAGGGAGACAACCTCTCTCCCATACATACATACATACACACATACGGAACCAGCTCGATTTACCTTGAAAGAGATGCTTCCGTTCCCAAAGGTCCCTTCGCGGCCTTGGAAGTTGGCGCTGAGGGCCGTTTCATTCAGCCGCCCTTCCAGGCTGTCCCAGCTGAGGTTAGCCAGGTTGTAACTGGCATAGATCTGCTCCGTGTGGATTTGGGAGAAGTCCGACGTGTTGGTGCCGTTATATTCCCACAGCTGCAACATTCACAATCTAAAGTAAGCAACTGCCTGTGGTTTATGAAGCAAGGCGCAACTGTCTGAACTGACATGTCTATGGAGATTCTCCGTCATCCAGATCCTGGTTGTCCCAAAGATACTTTTTCTAAGGCAACTGGACTTGTTCTTTCTTTGAAGACATTTCTCTTCTCATCCAAGAAGTTTCCTCAGCTCTGACTGGATGGTGGGGAATGGGAGGATTTATACTCCTTGCAGACAGATGGTCATTTGCATCCTTTTAGAGAGTCGTTGAGGCCACTTGGAGGTTTATCTGTATCTTCAGGGTCATTTGAGTAGTGCAAAAATGGGGAGTGGAACAGTCCTTTCAGCAATTCCAAGAAGGCTCCCCATCCATTTGCACATTCAGGTGACCTTGAAGATACAGATAAACTTTCAAGTGGCCTCAACGGCTCTCTAAAAGAAGGCAAATGACCAGTTGTTTGCTTTTCTTTGAAGATGTTTCGCTTCTCCTCCAAGAAGCTTCTTCAGCTCTGACTGGATGGTGGGGAATGGAAGGATTTATATGCCTTGCAGACAGCTGGTCATTTGTCTTCTTTTTAGAGAGTCGTTGAGGCCACTTGGAGGTTTACCTGTGTCCTTGGGGTCGCCTGAGTGGTGCAAATGGGTGTAGAACACACAGTCCTTTCAGCAGCTCCAGGAAGGCTCCACACCCATTTGCACCACTCAGACGACCTTGAGAAAAACAGATCAACCTCCAAGTGGCCTCAACGGCTCTCTAAAAGGATGCAAACCATCCAGTCAGAGCTGAAGAAGCTTGTCTGAACGGACGCATCTTAAGCCAGAAGCAAGCCACCATCCCCCTCTTTTGGCCATTTGAGGCACTTAGACTGCCTGGCAATCTCAGGCTGGGTTCACACAACTTGCCCAACCAAACCTGGGCCGTTTGCCAGTTTCTCACGTGATGGGGGAGCTCAGAGGGAGTTAGAACTGCAAAACAGGGTTTATCTACCTCCAGCCAGTTGGGGTTTAGCTGAGTGCTTGCAGTTGATCAGGAGGTGTGATCAAAAGAGGAAAACAATAATTTTGTAGTAACCCCATTGGGGCCAAACCATTTCAGATACTCCGGGGGAGGCCACCCTGTCAAGCTCCCATTTCACCTCCGTGCATGTAGAGGCCAAAAAATAATTACAGGCAGACTTATGATCGCAGAAGCAGAATATCCGTTGCTAAGCAAGGTGGTTGTTAAATGAGTGACAGCTTGTTTTGCCGCAGCTGTCAAGTGAACCACTTGTGTTCCGTGATCAAGCAGTCGTTAAGCGAATCTAGCTTCTGCCATTGACTGTGCTCGGTTCCAATCTGGCTGGAAAGGATGTAAATGGGGATCCCTGGACCCCAGGACGCTGCAACCGTCGTAAAGATAGGTAGTCCTCGTCTTACAACACTTCGTTTAGTGACCAAAGTTAAAACAGCATTGAGAAATGCGACTTAGGACCGTTTTTCACAAGTATGACTGTTGTATCACCCCCCCCCCGTGGTCACGTGATCGAAATTTGGATGGCAACTGGTTATTTATGATGATCACAGCGTCCTGGGGTCATGTGGTCCCCTTTTACGACCTTCTGACAAGAAAGTCGGGGGGGGGGAGCCAGATTCACTTAACAGCCATGTTCCTAACTTATCAACTGCAGTGATTCCCTTAACAACTGAGGCAAGAAAGGTCGTAAAGTAGGGCAAAACCCACTTAGCAAACATCTCACTTAACAACAGAAAGTTTGGGCTCAGCTGTGGTCGTAGGCCGGGGACTGGCTGTCCATGCCAGTCGCCGAGTGTCTGAATTGGGATCACGTGACCACAGGGATGCTGCAACGGTCATAACTGCGAGGACAGGTGGTAAGTCACTCTTTGGAGTGCCGCTGTAACTAAACGAAGAGTTGTAATTTGAGGACTGCCTGCATCCCCTTGCCTGGCTCCCCCCCATCCTTCAGCCCCCCCCCAAGGACCTACCCTGGGAAAGACCACGGCGGTGGAATACAAGACACTCTCGGCTGGTTCAACCCGGATGGCTCCCGCTGGGGAAGAGGACAGGAGCTGGGTCCAGTTGACCTGAAGGGAACTGTTGTCGCTTGCGGTGTACACCAACAACACTGTGGGGGCCCCAATGGTGCTCCAGACATAGTGAAGCGTATCGTTGAGGCCGACCGCCCGGCTGTGCAGGAGGTTCACCTCTGAGCTGGCCCATCCCGGGTTGTACTCCAGGGAGACCTGCAAAGAGATTCACACCAACAGCTCAAGCTGCTTCACAAACCAGTATACACGAAGCCATCAATCATGGTTAGTAAACCAGGAGACTAAGCCAGGGGTAGGCAACCTTGGCCCTTTTATGACTTGTGGACTTCAACTCCCAGAATTCCTGAGCCAGCCATGCTGAGGGGAAAGGGAGAGGTTTCCAAGCTGAGCCAGGCTGGCTTAGGGGGGACATGATAGCAGTCTTCCGGTATTTGAGGGGCTGCCACAAAGAAGAGGGGGGTCAACTTATTTTCCAAAGAACCAGAAGGCAGGACAAGAAACAATGGATGGAGGCTAATCAAGGATAGAAGCAACCTGGAATTAAAGAGGAATTTCCTGTGAGGCCAATTAACTAGTGGAACAGCTTGCCACCAGAAGTTGTGCATGCTTTATCACTGGACAGCCACCCATCTGGAATGGTACAGGGTCTCCTGCTTCAGCAGGGGGTTGGACTAGAAGACCTCCAAGGTCCCTTCCAGCTCTCACCTTCTACTGTTCTAAAAAGAGTTGGAAATCAACACCTGTACCCCATCGTTTCTTTCCCCCCTTTTTTTTCTTCCCTTAATTTCCTATTTTCTTTTATATTTTACACTTGGATAAAACAATAAAAGTCATCAAAAAAGAAAACATAAAAAAGAAGGGGAAGAGAAATGATTAGAAAATGGCCATAGAAGGAAGGGCCGAGAGCAATATTTAATTCACTGGTGACGTTTTCTGCAGGAAGAGAAAATGTATGATTCATGTTCTAATTTCTGAAGCTCTGGGAGAAAACACACAAAAGCCGCCGTTTTTCCTTCTGCTCTGAGTAACAAGGAAAAGAGGAAGCCGAACACAAGCAACTCTCACCCACACTTTCTTATCCTCCAAAGGCTGAAGACACAAACAATTTGGGGGTTTCCTCTGCCGATTCCAAATCAAAATGCATTTTACAGAGGAAACCTGCATTTGATCCCTCCGGAGCAGCCAAGAAAGATAGGAGGAGGAAAAAATTCCAAATTAAAATCTGGAGCCGAGCTCCATCCTATGGTGTTCTAGAGGATATTTATTATTTATTTTTTATTATTATTATTTAATTATTATTATTATTTAGAAGCCAGAATCAGAATTCAAGAGTTAGTAATGGCAGTTCCACTGTTCTTCTCTGCACTGGAGAGTTTGAAACATTTTGTGGTTGTTAGTTGCGAAGTCGTGTCCTACCCATCGCGACCCCACGGACAACGTTCCTCCAGGCCTTCCTGTCCTCTACCATCTTCTGGAGTCCGTGGTGTACCTTCCCACTGTCCCAGCCACCCCTTTCACTTTCTCTCTTACACATCATAGCAGTATTCCTGAACTTAGGACCACAATGGAACCCAAAGTTTCTGTTCTTAAAGGAGAACGGTTGTGAAGTGAGTTTTGCCCCGTTTTACGACCGCTCTAGCCCCGGCTGTTAAGAGGATCACGGCAGATGATAAGTTCTTCAGTTTGAACCTGGCTTCCCCCGTTGACTTGGCTTGTTGTCAAAAGGGGGGAAATCACATGATCTTAGGACACAACAACCGTCATGAGCGCAAACCAGTTGCCGAGCACCTGAATTTGGGTCACCGATCACAGGCGACGCTGCAACGGTCGTTAAGTGCGAAAAATGGTCCTCGGTCCCTTTTTTTACAGCGCCGCTTGAACGGTCACTAAGCGAGCCGTCGTAAGGCGAGGGCTGCCTGTATTTCCAATTTCCGGGAGGAGACTGAGCGCCGCGGCGATGTCCTCCCGGCCCGCTTCCTCGGCAGAGCGCCTCGGGGCATGGGCAGAGCGCCTTTCTCCGCTTGCTGCCTTCCACCCCACCGCCTCGCAGGCTCCACACGGGCGAGCCCTCCGCGGGAACAAGCCCACCCGGCGGTCCCCCTTCCCCTTCCCCGCACCTACCCTCCTCCGGTAGCCCGCCGCGTCCCCCGCGCAGCCGCCCGCCGCCCAGAGGAGCGCCAGGCCGGCCCAAGCAGCCGCCGCCGCCGCCAGCATGTTGTCCGACTGCGGGCTCGCGAAAGCGCCGTCACGTGACCCGGCCGGCGTTCCTTCCGGGCTTCCCTCCAGCTGGGCGGGGCCTCTCTTAAAGGGGCCGCTGCAAAGCCGGCCTCGCCCCTGAGCCCCGGGGAGCCGGGAAGGGGTCCCCCGGCAGAGGACGAGCGGCCGGCCTGGCCAGGGGGAGATGCTCTGGAGCCCTTTCCCAGCCAAGCAGAAGGGCTCTTCCTTGCCTAGAATATGGAAGGGACCTTGGAGGTCATCTAGTCCAAACCCCTGCTCAGGCAGGAAACCTTTCTCTGCTTCTCCTCCCCCTCAAAATAATAAGAGGTGGAAGGGACCTTGGAGGTCATCTAGTCCAACCCCCTGCTCAGGTAGGAAACTTTTCTCTGCTTCTCCTCCCCCTCAAAATAATAAGAGGTGGAAGGGACCTTGGAGGTCATCTAGTCCAACCCCCTGCTCAGGCAGGAAACCTTTCTCTGCTTCCCCTCAAAATAATAGAGGTGGAAGGGACCTTGGAGGTCATCTAGTCCAACCCCCTGCTCAGGCAGGAAACCTTTCTCTGCTTCTCCTCCCCCTCAAAAAGAGGTGGAAGGGACCTTGGAGGTCATCTAGTCCAATAAAGTTTGGCCCTGGATTCCAGATATGCGTGTTTGGGGAAACCCTCGGGAAAGAGGCACTCCCAGCTTCTTCCAACCTGTTACCTTCCAGAACTGGACTACAAAGCCCATCTCCCCCAGTCAAGCATGGGCATTGTCCTCCTGCCAAGGAAAGGGGGATTTGAATACAGCCTTTAATAGCTGAGGAAGTTATCATGATGGAGAATCTGCACCAGGGTAACCAAACTCTTGTGTTGCTAAGTGGGGTCTTGCCCCCCCCATACAGGCAGACAAATGTGGGCTTCCAGAGCCCCCAATTGGCTTCCTAAAGCTGCAAAGTAAACTCTCCTCCACTACTCCAAGGTGGACTCAACAGGCCTTCAGCCAAGGGGCACGCAAGACCCCTGCATCCTCGTATGTAAAGATCTGCACCTGGCGTAACAACAAGCCACCCCTTCTCTTCCGCAACAATCCAGCTTTTCTTTCTGTCTTAACATTTAAACTGTTCCGTTAAGTGAGAAATACGCTAAGTGAATGTTGCCCATTTTACGGACCTTCTTGCCATAGTTGGCAAGTGAATCCCTGCAAGCTGGTTAGTAAGTGATCCGGTTGTTAAGTGAGTCTAGTTCCCCTATTGACTTTCTCGAGAGAAGGTCACAAAAGGGATCAAGTGGACATAGCAACGGTCGTTAAGTATGAACCAGCTGCCAAGCATCTGAAATTTGATCACGTGATCATGGGGACGCTGCAAAGGTCGTAACTGTGAAACACGGTCCTAAGTCACGTTTTTCAGCGCCGCGGTAACTTTGAGCGGCCACTAAACAACCTGTTGTTGAGGACTACCTGTACTTGAACCCAGATCAGTAACTGGGCTTGGCTGGGGGCTGCTGGCGCTGCCCTTGACAACCCCGCCCGCCCAGCTTGCCAAGTGTGAGAAAGGAGGAGAAAGCAAGCAGGAATTTATTTATGAACCTGAAGGGGTCTTTTTATTAATAAAGCCACAAAGCAGCTACAGAGTACGTTTCAATGGAGCCTGTCTCCTCGAGAGAAACGGGCTTAACGCGGTGCTGCCGGTCCGCCTTCCTCCTCTCCTTGACCAACTGGAAACCAATCGGGGTTTGGGCTTCAACCGTCTTGACTGCAGAGGCGAAGAACCAGGTTCTGTTGAAATGTTCACTCCGGCTCCTTCTGCCTCCCACCATCCCGGGTTTGCCAAGGAGTCCTTACTCCTGGGCCGCGTCTGGAGCTCCCGACGGCTTGTTCTGATCGTCGCCTTTCTTCTTGTGGCCTGAAACAATGTCATCGATGCGCAGGAGGAGGACGGCCGTCTGGGGAGGGAGGGAGCAGGTGGGGTTACATCAGGAACAAGAAAATAAACCCCCCCAAAAGAACGTAGGGGTGTAAGTTTGGATCGATCTTCCGTGGCCCCTTACGTTCTTGTAACCGATTTCGTCAAAATTCTCTAAAGTAGTCTTGTTCTAAGCCAAACCAATCAGATCTGGTCCCCATCGGTTGGAACCGAGAAAATACTGAACACCTGAAGTTATGTTCTTAAGGACTTGGTCGGTACGACTGAGTCCTTAAGACCGAGTTGAAGTCCACGAGTCACAAAAGAGCCAAGGTTGCCTACTCCTGGTCTAGAGAATAGAAGGACTAGGGGGGACATGATAGCAGTCTTCCAGTATTTGAGGGGCTGCCCCAAGGAGGAGGGGGTCAAGCTGTCCTCCAAAGCACCTGAAGGCAGGACAAGAAGCAACCTGGAATTAAGGAGAAACTTCTTAATAGTGAGGACAATTAACCAGTGGAACAGCTTGCCACCAGAAGTTGTGGGTGCTCCATCACTGGAGAATGTTTTTAAGAAGAGACTGGACAGCCTCTTCTCTGAAATGGTAGAGGGTCTCTTGCTTGGGCAGGGGGCTGGACTAGAAGACCTCCAAGGTCCCTTCCAGCTCTATTCTGATTTGATTGAAAACTTCTGCCAATGGCCCAGTCAGGGGAATCTGCAGGGTACAGGTAGTCCTTGACTTACAACCATCTATTTAGTGACCATTGAAAGTTACAATGGCACTGAAAAAAGGGACTTAAAACTGATCCTTGCACTTGCAATCACTGCAGCATCCCAAGGGTCATGCGATCAAAATCCAGGTGCTTGGCAACTGCCACGTATTTACGACAGCTGCACTGTCCCAGAGTCACGTGATCATTGGCGCCTTGTGACAAGCAAAGTTAATGAAGCCAGATTCACTTAATGACCATATGACAACTGCAGTGATTTGCTTAATAACCATGGGAAAAAGGTAAAATCGGGCACGACTCCACTGAATAATCAACACAACTAGCAACACGATTTCGGTTTCCAATTGCAGTTGTAAGCCGAGTACTGGCTGTATGCGACAAAAAGTCGAGATGACAACCCTGACAGGGTGACTGGAGCTCTTTGTCTTGTTTTTCAGGTGTTAGGCACACCTAAAAGAGAAGCAGGCACCTAACTTCCCTGCCAGGGCCACCATCCTGACTGTTTCGGTCACACTCTGTGGATACTCTGCATTCTGCCATTCCCTCATGGTGCACACCACTGTCAAGAGTTTATTCTGCATTTTAAAATTCTGCATTATTTTCCACACAAGTGGATTCCCTACTTCCTCAGCAATTTTAACTTTTTAAAGAAGTTTCAACTTGCTCCACAACTGGAGAGGGAATACAGAGTGAGTAGGAAGGCAGGTAGTACAAAGGGTGTCTCTTGACTGGCCTCATCGCTCAGACACAAATGCCCGAACGGAATTCGCAGCATCCCCTGGTAGGGGAGCAGCTACGTGGAATTACTTCGAGCCCTGTGAACGGGCACAAGTTAACAGTCCAGAAGAAAACCGGTGGTGGAAAAAAAAAACCTGGGAGATATTCCCAGCTAGCAAGATGAGGCCAGCCCTTCCTTCCTTCCCTTCTGGCCCCCTTTCACCCCCGGGAAGTCTTGGGCCACCCCAGAGGGATCCCTTGGGCCACGGATGCTTTCGCCTCACCTCGACAGCTGTCTTGTAGGTCTGCAACTTGACAGAGAGCGGCTCCCAGATGCCCAAGTCCTTCATGTCAGCCAAGGCTCCAGTCTCTCCATTTACACCCCAGGTCTGGCTGCCTTCCTGGGTGTGTTTTGCCTGCGAGCAACAGACCAAGTTAAGCACCTCCAAAACAAAAAGCTCGCCCCCCCTTCCGCGTTTCACCTCCACAACTTCAAAGGGATCGCACAGCACACCCTGTCCACCTCTTGCTCACTCCCAGAAATTTAAAATTTATTATTTTGGGGGAGACTTAATACTTTCCACAACTGTTTGGAAAGATAATGTCAATCAGGAGATTCAGACAGTTCAAATGAGTATAAAGGTTTATTGCAAGCTTAAGCTCGTGACAAGAATCTGACCAACAGTCCCTTCAAGAGATGAGAGAGGCATTCAAGGTGGGCCGGACATAAGATCTCTTGCGCGTAGAGACTCATGACTTATGACGTGTTTGACCCCCTCCCTCATCTCCTACAGATAATCTGTCTTGCCCTTCTCTTCCATTCTCCGTGCAATGGCCGCACCACCCCTCTCCACACAAGGACCACACAAGGACCTTTCCAGCAAAAGCAGAGATAAAGGAGGACAGCGGGTGATCAAAGGCAGTTCTCACCCGCAAGGAAGTGAGGACACGGATAGTGCTGGCACCGCAGTTCTGAATGAGGGTCCTGGGAATCACTTCTAGGGCTTGGGCCACGGCACGATAGGGCCACTGTTCCACCCCGGTCATGACTTTGGACTTTTCGGTCAAGGCGTGGGCCACGGCCATCTCGGAAGCACCACCCCCTGGCACCAGCTGGGGGTCCACGAGGACGTTGCGGCAGACCTGCATGGCGTCCTGGAGGTTACGCTCCACCTCCTGCAGGAAGGAGAGAAAAAGCCTGCGTAAGAGTTGAAGCCTCGAGTCAAAGCTGTTTGTTTGGCAAGTCGGAGAGCAATTCAGTAGCGTTATCATGGAGGCTCTCAGAAAAAATATTTTTTGTGAGAAGTAGGCAGCTGAAGGAGCCATCCTTGGGGTGGCTGAGGGAATCACTGCCCCCCCTTCTGAATAAAAGCCCTACCCACCTCTAGTGATTCTGGCCCATCTCTGCCTCAGTAGCCAATCAAGCGCTCCAATTCTTCCAGAAACAGATCCCTACTACAGATGGTCCTTGACTTACAACTTAGGAACTGTTTCAAGTTACAACGGACGTATCTTATGAACCAGATTAGAACTTCCACCATCAAACCCCTCCCCAACGGCCATGTAACCAAACTTTAGGCACTCAGCAACACAGCTGCATTTACGGCCAGTCACAGCATCTTACAGTCACTATGTTTTATGATGGTTTTGCCAAAAACTGGCCACTTC